GCAAGGAGCTGAAACAAAATTACCCATTTGTACAATATACTCAAATCAGCAGCATACCAACAAAACAAGTAACAGACAAATGAATCCACAGCACACGTGCCCAGAATTTTCTCGAGAAAATCTCAGGCAGACGGGAAAAAAACCCACCAAAAATTCACATTTTCAAGCTTTCAAAGAGCAAAGAGAACAGGGAATTGAATATACATAAACAATTTAAAACCAAAATTAAAAAAAAAAATACAAAAAATTACCAGGTTTCATGCAGCTTCAAATGGATTGAGAGAAATGCTGGACAAATTGGAATCTGTGACTTGGATTTTGGAGGAGAAAAGGCCTCAAACAAGTCAAAGAAAGCAGATTGGGAAAGGCGAGGGAAATGAGATAGATTTTAGAGAGGGAGAGAAAAGTAGACAAAAGAAGTTTTGGGAATATTGGAATTGAGAGAGAGAGAGAGAGAGAGGAGAGAGAGAGAGAGTCTCAAAAAAGGAAGGGAGCCCAATGAGCAATGGTCAAACCTACCATAAACCATTATTTAATTATCCTAAAACAGCAGAATTGGATTTCTAATTATTTTGACGATTTTACCCTTGAATCAATGAGAGTTATATGGAGATTGGAAATGTCATGCACCTAGAACATCGTTTAGATTGCTCCTTGTGGTTTTTTTTTTGTTTTTTTTATTTATGAAAATAAACTATATTATTTACATTAAAAAGGTAGAAGAGTGAGCTAAATCTCACAATAGGTTAGCAATATTTGGTTCAAATTAGCTTTTGCCACATTAGACGAGTATCGAATCTAAGATTTCTAATTTACAATTGAAGATGAATATCATTAGACCATAACTTTTGTGCTCGTAACTTTTTTAAAGTTGGGAAAGAAAATGACCATAACTTTTGAGCTCATATTTGAATATGGATTAAATACAAGCCTTGAGGAAAATGAGTTTTATTTGCATCAATAAACTTTGTCTTCCTCTAGAAGTGTATTAGGACATCTTCAATGTAAGAAGCAAAATATTTTGAAAATGTAAAACGGGATGTAAATATAATTTTTGTATCTCAATTTTGCATTTTTCCAGTGGAAACACTCTAAGAATTCACCTTTGAATCATAAATTTTATTTGTTTTTGAACAAATTGTTCTTGGTTTTTGAACTCGCCTTTATCATACCAAAGCAACCAACAATTTGTGGTTTAATTAAGAGTAATAAATCCATAAATTATCGTATTTCGTCTATTGATGTTGAAAGTGGCCGACCATGATTTGTCGAAGTTTGACTTGGGAAATGCTTGAGTTGTATAATTATGAACCTTGGTCAAAATTATCTTACAATCACAATGAGGTGGTTCGGTAGTTGAAGGTAAATTCTAGGCTAGTATTTTACATTATTGATTTTGGATTCGATTTTTGGCCTTAGTGAGTCATATGATGGTGGTTAGAAAGAGATTGAAATGTCTTTATAAGTCTTCCCGACCTTCGAAAGACTATCATGACGAAACCACAACTAATTCTTTTCTTTAAAAAGAAAAAAAGAAAAAACCAATTGACACGTGTCGTGCGGTCAAGAAAACTATATTACTTACATTAAAAAGATAGAAGAGTAAATTAAATCTCACAATAGGTTAGCAATAATGTAATTCAAATTAGCCTTTGATGTAACATCTCACATTGCCCAGGGGAGTGGATCATCTAAGCCTTATATGTATATTCCCATCTTTACCTAGCACGAGGCCTTTTGGGAGCTCACTGACTTCGGAGTTCATCGAAACTCCGAAGTTAAACGAGTTCGCGCAAGAGCACTTCCAGAATGGGTGACCCACTGGGAAGTTCTCGTGTGAGTTCCCAGAAACAAAATCGTGAGGGCATTGTCGGGGCCTAAAGCAGACAATATCGTGCTACGGTGGAGTTGAGCCCGGGATTGTGACATTTGTCACCTTTGACAAGCATCAAACTTAAAATCTTCCACTTACAAAAAGATGAATACCATTAGACCGTAACTTTTGTGCTTAGAACTTTTTTAAAGTTGGGAAAGAAAATGACCATAACTTTTGAGCTCATATTTGAATATGGATTAAATACAAGCCTTGAGGAAAATGAGTTTTATTTGCATCAATAAACTTTGTCTTCCTCTAGAAGTGTATTAGGACATCTTCAATGTAAGAAGCAAAATATTTTGAAAATGTAAAATGGGATGTAAATATTATTTTTATATCTCTAAAAATGTAAAATGGGATGTAAATATAATTTTTGTATCTCAAATTTACATTTTTCCATTGGAGAAACTCTAAGAAATTCACCTTTGAATCATAAATTTTATTTGTTTTTGAACAAATTGTTCTTGGTTTTTGAACTCTCCTTTATCATACCAAAGCAACCAACAATTTGTGGTATAATTAAGGATCAGCCTGTCTTAGATTCTGACTTTCACTCATACCAACAAAAACTTACTATAAATTCTTGACTGATTTTTATTATTTATTTAGGATTACTAATTCAAGAGTTGAAGTTGCTTTCTGCTAACTAAAATCACTTCCAAGTTCTAACAATATTATAACGTCGAAACTTAAAAATGATTTTAAGGTCATAGACACGTAATACCCAAAAAAAAAAAAAAAAACCCCTTGTGTTTGAATTAAAATGGCAAAACAGGCTAATAAAATTAGTTTTAACAAAACACTTACGAGCAAATATGTTTTTAAACAAAACATTTTGAAGCGATTTACTTCTATGGGTAATAAATGTCTTATTTCGTCTATTGATGTTGAAAGTGGTCGACCACAATTTGTCAAAGTTTTACTTGGGAAATGCTTGAGTTGTATAATTATGAACCTTGGTCAAAATTATCGTACAATTACAATGAGGCGGTTCCGTGGTTGAAGGTAAATTCTAAGCTAGTATTCTCCATTACTCATTTTGGATTCGATTTATGTCGTTAGTCACACAATGATGGTTAGAAAGATACTAAAATATGTCTGTGAGTCTTTCCCATCTTCGAAAGAGTATCATGATGAAGCCACAACTAATTCTTTTATTTAAAAAAAAAAGAAAAAAGAAAAAAACAATTGACACGTGTGTTGCGGTCAAGAAAACGGTTACGTGTCTAACTGCCAATGATACATTGCACTTCACCATCCGTGACCGGGAAAAGACCCCACTTCCTTGTACCAAATCAGAGGGCGTTTTGGTCATTTTATTTTTTAATGTGTGCGAACACAATTTGAAAGAGAGGACCAAAATGGTAAATTCAAAGATTCAGCACGATTTTCAACGAAGAGCGCCTCGATTGAAGTGACATCCCAGTCAAAGTTTTTGAAATTTTTAATTTGGTATTTTAAAAAGGGCACGTGTCCAGTTTGGTGATGGGTCTTTGACTCGCAAATTCCACCGTCGGATCTGCAGCTGTAGGGCAGATCGACGGCCCACGTGCAGCCTACAAAAAGAGCACGTAGAACCCACTGACATCAGTACTTTTTTGTATTTTAGTTAATTGGTGAGCATTGTCACGCGCCTGCCGCATGGAGGAGTAATTCCATATCATCAACCCCATACGTGGGTCCGTGTGCGCCCCATCTGGCCCTTTGCCACTTTACACTGTTGATATGTGTACCATTTAAGGTTGGTCATCATCATCAAGTGCAATTATGATGAACCCTACTTTCAAATTTCAAACATTTGGGGGTTTTTGATTTTGGGAGTTTTAGATCTTGGAGACTTGGACAAAAATATTTGGATCTATTAAAGAATTGTTGTAGTGGCTCTCGATTTCAGTTACGATAGCTGAATGTGATTCGATATGATCGAATGTAATGTAAACGTAAAGTATCTTAAGTGATTAGAATGCAACGAATTTTTAAATATACAATTAACAAATTGATCATAACAAATCATTTTCTGATATTTGAATCCTTATTTCGTTACACACTTTGATAAATATATTTACAAAAGAAATTAAAATATCGTATTTTTTGTATTGTGCGAAATGAATTATTGTTGTCATTACAGATTTCAATCATGGTAACTGAATATGAAATAATATGATAAAACGTAACGTAAAACATCTGAAGTGACTTGAATACAATAAATCTTTAAATGTACGATTAACGGATTTATCATAAAATATCATCTTATGATATTTGAATTCTTATTAAGGGCCGGAAAAATGGAGGATCAGTAGAAGTTTATTGACCAAAACAAAAAGCAAACCAAAAAAATTTCTTTTGCACATGTGTGATGATTAAATTGTTGAGTGCTTTTGGAAAAGCACTTTTGTGATTTGGAAGCTGAATCAATCTCGGTTTGATTTCGAATGGCACATCTCAACTCAAGATCCAATGCGGGCCGGTTCGATGTGAGTCCAATGATTACTCACATGGGCCTATTATGATAGCTCATTTACTTAGGTTCAGTCTTGTTGACCTAAAAGTGTGCAAGCCTCCAATAATGTCACACCATGAAAAAGTTTTGAACGAGATAATGAGTGTCCATTAACCCCTAATCTCAACTAAAGTAGTCACTTACTACTATGGTATAAAAGTATTTCTTTTTATTTATAAATGAGAAGTTTTAGGTTTGATTTTCGCTAAAGGCAAGTTTGAATCACATTATCGTTAGCTCATTGTGATGCTTAGCTACTCCCTCACTCTCTTAGGATAAATAATATCGTTTGTTAAAAAAAAATGAATCTGCACGAATTTAGGAACTCAACTCATTTTAGAGGAATTAGACTCTTTTTTATAGACAGGAGGTAATCTAATTATGCGAGATGTCGAGAGTTAGGAGAGCAACATTTTAGCCATTATTCTCTCACTTTATTTTTCAAATTTCAAGACAACCTTTTGACTCGTATTAAAACACTGTGTTAAGTCAGTTAATTAGAACAATGTGTTAAGTCGGTCAATTGTGCACTCAATTACAGTTGTAAAGCAAATCCTCTACATAATCTTTTGCCCGAAAAGAAATACCGGATATCAAATCACATCTCACAAATAAACACCAAGATATAAGCACTCAAAATCCTCATAAAATCTTGTTGTAACAAAGTGCTGTGAAACAATAAGTGAATCAAATTAAGAACTTAGGCCATCCGTGCAAAGTTCCAAGCCATCCGAATACAATCCCAAACAAGTTCTCCACAATACTTTAGATAATTATTTAAGCCAACCATTAGAAGTAGCAACACAACCAAACTAAACAAAATAAATAAAAAATGTATACGTGTTAAACTGTGATTCACGCATACCTCATAAGCAAACTGTTTCAGTCGATATACAGTGGATTCAGCTTCTGGGCACCGAGGCTTCTTAGAGCGGTGAATAATTAATTTCTTGAAAATTCTGAGTTTGGATTTCAAGGATTGTTTCTGCTGCTGATGATGTTGCTGCCGCCGAGAAATTGATGCTACGAATTCTGGATTCTTTTTTGTTTGATGAACTGTGGATTCTGAATTCACTCTGAGAAAAAATTTGCGAAGCTTGAGGGAAATCGAGATTCGGTGGAGCTTCCAAGCGGGCACGATTTGTGTCGATTTAAATTTGAAATCGAAGTTCTTGCATTTGGCTTGAACTTTGATTTTGAATGCTTGCTGCTCCTTTGCTTGCATGATGAAGAAAGACGAGCGGCGCTGAAGAGGTGGATCTGCTTGGCGACATCTCGTGGATTTTACTAGCCGTTGTCCCATAATTTGAATTCTTCGAAAAGCCACTTCTTTTAGAGGAAGAAATTATGTTGGTTTGGGCCATGTGTTATGGGTTTCATAAACTTGGGCCTTGAGAAAGTGATAGGGATTGTCTTATGTATTTGCTCGTCTCACAAATGCTTTTAAATTATTGTAAGTGTTTTTTAAGAAAATGTTTTTGAAACAATTTTCAATCGTTTAAAAACACTTGCAAAATGAAACCTACTTCTTTTCCTGGTGGACTGCTTTTACCAAAAAGGAACTCTCATATCTCTTATTTTATCCCCCATATCATGTCAAATGATACACATATTTGATCATACAAGAATGTACTAAACTTGTAGAGAAATCATATAATATTCTCACTCATATTATACTTTATCTTACAAGAGTAACAAATAACTATAATATGTGATTTTATTCCCATTCCGAAAATATTTAACGAATTTTTTTACAATGTGATTAACTACACTTTTTAATGTGTGGATACGTAATTGATATTATTAGTATTGTTAATACTTTAACCTTACAATTATAGATATACAGTAAAAAAACTTACTACACTTTAAAGCAAATGCGGTCAGTCGACTATAAAAAGAATTGTATATTTACTGCTAATCTTGTTTTCACTCATTTTTATTGTGATCAGCATGAATCTACCAACTCTTTTTGCTCACTCAGTACACTCTATTAGATGATCTATACACGTCACATGATTTTACATGATTTTGTGTTACATCTACCCCAAAACAAGAAGAAGTGAATAAACCATCCATTTCTTCCCCTTTAGCCCTGACTTATCACGTCAGATCCATAGCCATGCACCTCTCCAATTGATGAATGGTTTTCCTTCGATACAAGTACCTACTAAGAAGTGGTACATGACGAGTAGGCACAAATAGTGGCGGTCCATAGACCATGGTTCACTTATTGCTGTTACAAGGAGACCTTACAAAATGTCAGTTTTCTCACTCTGTCCTTGGCATAACTTGCAATCATAGAGGACTAGGATCCGCTATTTACAGCAGTAATTGAGTCATCCATGCAACTTTCTTAAGTGAATGGACCATTATTCACGGCTCAAATAAACCCAAATGGGTTTAGAGGAATAAGCTCACAAAACCCTAGTTTGCAACTTTGGAGGGAAATTGATTTACTTGTGATGTTGTCAATTTGACGTTTTATTTGACAAGATATCTGAAACGTATAACATTCTTTTATTTGTTAACTTTTTACTCACATGAAAGTGCATGATTTGTTTGTGATACTAATATTTTGACATTCTAGGTGCACGTAAGTTATTTGCACATAAAGTAAAAAGACCAAGATTAGAGGACAAAGCTCATGAAATCCTAATTTGGAGGGTGATGCCAAATTGGGATGATATCCGAAGCTCATCACTTTTTGTCATGCGTTTTGACTTATGCTTCTGTTAACACATAATTGGTTTGAAATATTGTCTCCTTTGTGTTCAAGTTTAGGTGTAGCTTTTTTTTTAGAAAAGGTACGATATTCGATAAAGAAGAGAATACGTACAATCAATGATGATAGGGTGCATACATTGGGCCTCGATAAAAACCTTATCTGGGATTTTAACCCAGTTGAAGGGAAAAAAATGTCCCACGCCAAACAAATTAAGAAAAACTATCCTCAAAGAGAAGGTCCACAATTAGATCAGGAGGTTCTTCAAACCAAAGAATAGAATTCTCACTACTCAGACTCATTCGTGCTAATCTATGCACCACTTTCTTCATCTCCCTTCCCTTGTAACCAATCTTCCACTGAGGCAATGAATGAATCAACGATCGAGTATCATTTAGAATATTCCGAACGGCGAAAAGTCCTCATGACCATCATGTTGTTGGGCTACCATAATAAGCAACGCATCACCTTCAAACACTGCAGCTCGTAGTTGCCTCTCCTTGACCAAAAAAATCGCATCCTTAGCTGCCATAGTGTCGGCTAGTTGAGGAGAGGAAATAGTGACATGCCTAGTTGCCATAGCTGCCACAAAGTCACCGCTATCATTCCGAATCACCACTCTAACACCACAACACCCCTTTATTCGTCCCATGCCACATCAAAATTACATTTAAACGACCCAATATTCAGCTTCATCAATTTTTGAGATACTCTGTAGCTGCGTTTTTCATTTATCAATGAAAAATGAGATTCGAACTTAGGATCTCTTTCAACATTAAGAAGAAACATAACAATAGACTAAAAACTAGTTAACAAGTGTTAAACTCAGCACTTATTATTGCCAAGGTGTATAAGATCAGTTTGAAAGATTACAATTTTTGATTTTTCAGGAATGAATGCTCTACTTGTCTTGATATTTTTACTTTGGAAAGAAAAAATCTAAAGAAAGCCAAGCAGATATAAGGGAGGAGATCCTCTTGCACATAACCTGGTGATAGAAGTTTTTGATTTGAAGTACAAAGATGAAGGGATGATGACACGCCCGATCCTGATATTCCCCGAATACCAGGGTAGGTACATGCTGCCAGACACCCGAAGATGACGAAGCCATATTAGGATGCATGAGAACTAATAAATATAAACAATACTTATAAATTTAAATATAATTAATATGCAAATGATGAAGGTGTTCAAAGCATACAATTAATTCAAGACACTAGAAAGGAAATAATATAAAATTTGAATGAATAGAGTGATGGGTCCTACACCGAGAGGATTCGAAGATGCCAATGCGGGAGTGCCTTGATGCCGGGATTGTACGCCTCGAATCTAAGTCTTGAGGGGGCGCAAAACAAACATGAGTTGACCAAGTTGATATATATATAAAATATTGAAACAGTTATCAACATACTAATCCCCAAAGTTTTATGGAAATTCAATAGTGTAATATGTAATAGATTTTTCCGAAACCCTAGCATGCCATAAAACCTTTCATGAAACATATCTCGTATATAGTGTGTTAAATAGTGGTATCCAATAACAATATCTCCCGCCCCAATGCCAGTTACTATGTCTCCGCGCCTGAAGCCAGAGATTATTTCTCCTGGCCCACAACCAACAACCATATCCCTTGCCTATGGCGGAATAGTGACCACTAGATAAGCACATTAAGGATCACTTCCCTGGGCGATGTGGGATGTCACAATCCACCCCCCTTAGGGGCCCGACGTCCTTGTCGGCACATTTCCGGCCAAGGATAAGCTCTGATACCAATGTCACATCCCGGCCCGGGTGGAACCACTTCCCGGGCCTGCTCCACCACCGTAGCACGATATTGTCCGCTTTGGGCCCCGACCACGCCCTCACGGTTTTGTTTCTGGGAACTCACACAAGAACTTCCCGATGGGTCACCCATCCTGGGAGTGCTCTCGCGCGCTACTCGCTTAACTTCGGAGTTCCTATAGAACCCGAAGCCAGTGAGCTCCCAAAAGGCCTCGTGCTAGGTAGGGATGGGAATATACATTTAAGGATCACTTCCCTGGGCGATGTGGGATGTCACAAGATAAGCACAAAACCATTGAACATAGTCTTTCCAAAAATAAGTACATATATTTCAAAACATCTTCATAGTATAAAGTCATCCATCATCTATACTATAAAGAAGTGTGTCAAAACATGTTCATAAGTAGTATATAGTCATCCATCATATATACTACAAAGAACATAAATTCGATAAAATATGGTAATTCAAAATATTCTCAATAAGCATAATATCTCATAAAACGTAATCATTAAATCATGCTTTTAATGTATGCATTTCTACTATTAAAAATGCATTTTAGAAAGGGTCCACTCATAGATATTTCACCGCCGAAGAGTCACGCAAACTAGCGAAGCTGGAAACACTACCATAATTGCCCCTAAGCACATAAAGGGTCCAATTACAAAAACTATATTTAAACGATTGAATTTGGGAAAATAGATATAAAAAACGGATTTAGGACATCGAAATTAGCCTAGAAAGGGTCCCGAACGAAACCCGAAAAAGTCAACTTTGACCAGTCAAAGTCAACGGTCAACATTGACCAAGTCTACGTTCAACATATCCAAATCGGTTAACAGGTCACTGGTTCGAGTCAGACTGGGTTGAGCTTGAGATTACTGGGCCGGATGTCCAGATTAGATGGTCCAAGGTCCTATCTCTCACTGGGTTGGGTTCAATTTACACAGGTGCAAAGGCCCAACTTCCACATGGCCCCGAAAGCCTGTTTCAAAGGGTTTTTAGGCTGCAAAGGGTTTAAGCTCAGATGCAAAGGCCCGAAGACTTAATCCCACACGGCCTTAAGGCCTGGGTTCGAAAGGGTTAAAGGGTTTTCAAATACGCTGGGCTTGAAGCCTGGCCCGATTGTTTTTGGGTTTTTAAAAGAAAACAAAATAAATAAAAATAAAAAGGGTTTGGGTTGGGTTCAAAGCTCACAGGTCGAAGCCCTTTGTTCTTGGGCTAAGGGTTTAGCGGGCCAAAGACCCTAGGTTCCTTGGCCCAAAGGCCTTGGCTACTTGTTCTCGCTGGAGAATGAGGCTGGAGCCTCTCGAGCTCTGGTTGACGTCACTGCTCACACCTAGGACTTGATCTAGGTACCAAAATGAAATAAAGATGAGAGGGAAAGATTTGTTACCTCCTAATTGTCGTGGAATGGCCGGAGGTGGCCGTTTCCTTGCTTGAAACCCACTGGGCTCGCCGGAGTTTGGGTTTGGGTGTCCTATGGGTGTCCTATGGGTTTCCCGTTTCTTCATAGAGACAAGGGAGAAGGAGAGTGCTACCACGGTGGACGTGGTGGTGTTGTCGTCGCCGTTGCTTTCCTTGATTTGGGTGTGTGGATGTGTGAGTGAATCGGGGTGAGGGAGAGAGTCCGAGAGAAAGAGAGGGTGAGTGTGTGAGAGAGAGTGAGCTCTCAAGTCCAACAAGGGAGAAAGAAAAAATGGCTGGGGGAACCAAAAATTCAGAAGTGGGCCCCTTGGGCACACCATTTAATACCAAAAACAATATTTCAAACAAGAATCCCACAACCCAAATGAAAATACGAAAATACCCGTTTCGTTCCGTAAAATTCGGGACAGGTTGTTATAGAGGAGCTCCACTTTTAGTCGTGGATCGGTTGGCTTTGAAATAATTTGAGAGAGGATCCTCTTTGTGAGGATCTCGGGAATCCTCCAATCACATCCGTTCATCATATATCGTGTGGTCAATTTTCGTCAGGTATTGTTTATATTCAATTTTAAATAAAAAAAATTTACAATAATATTTGACCGCATGATGTACAATGAGCGAATGTAATTTAAGAATCACCGAAATCCTCACAAAAAGGATCAGGTGAGGATCCTCACTCGGATAATTTATGGTGATGGGAATAAAGTCCGTTCCAACTTACCATCCTATAAATGTATAATTGGACCACGATATGACTAAATAATTAACATACAATGCAGTTTAGTGTCCATTTCATTCATTGTTTAGTGTTCCTTCAATTCAAGAAAAATTTGGTGCATAGACACGTCATCCATAAACCACTTGCAAAAGAATGTGATCCTTGTATATTTTGATCTCACTGACCTTAGTGCTTAACCCTATATGAGAACTTCCAAACCTGTCGAAGGTTCTGCCCGCAAACTTTGTTTAATTAAAAATTGACTATGAATTTGTAAATCTTTATAAACATTGGTTCATTTGATTTTTGATTTGATTAATTATCAACTGAAATACACATATGATCAGAGAAGTGCACCAGAAGACAGTTCATCATGGTGATATGAACTCATATTGCTCTTTGAATGATATACAAAATAAATAAAAGTAAAAAACTCCCATTATTTCCTAATTGCTGATTGGCCTCCACAAAATTAGATCCATAATTTTCATAGAACAATAAAAATTTACGACTTTTGGCCAATTGGCAAAGTTCAACTCCCCTGCTCAACCACTACGACTACTCTGCCACCTTGCTGGCTGGACTCGTTGGTGGCTGCTGCCGATGACCCCTCCGCCGCCGCATTAGCTTCTTGATTTGAATCTGCAGCCGCAACAGCAGAGCTAGTACTCAGCAGCGAATGCCGACAATTCGGGCACGACGAGTGCGACAAAAGCCACGTGTCTATGCACCTCACGTGGAATCCGTGATGGCATTTCGGCAAGACTCGAACTTTTTCTCCGTCTTCGAACTCCGCAAGACAGATAGGGCATTCGGTGGCCGGAATATTCACGCCGGAGCCGTACACCGCAATTGGGATTTGCCTTAAATGCTTCTTCTTCAAGCCGGTGGCGGCCAACTGCTCAGCCACCTGCTCCGGCGTCTCGAGAGCGAACCTGCGGCTGCAACGAAGGGCGCAGCGGACGAACGAATTGAGACCAAGTGCGCATATCAAAGCACACAATAAGGCAGCCAATATGATCACCATGTTGGTGTCGAACTTGGCCTCGCTAACGTACGAATCGGCGGCTCTTCCATTGGACAACGGCGCCGCCGTGTTAACCTCTGTTCCGAGGAGATATCGATGCATGGTTGAAGAAAGGGAAGAAAGTAAAAAGAAGAGATGAAGTGGAGGGATTTTCAGTTGGAGAGTTCTGGGAAGAACAGGAAAGGGTTGTGTTGTTGTTTTAAGTCACAGAATTGTTGTGAAGATTCCAGCTAGAAAAGGACATGGAGAGAGCATATTTTTATTTTGTTTATGCGAGTGGATGTTATCCGAATCAGAGACCCCTTTTTAGCTGGTCCTGGCGAAATGGATCGAAGAGCAGCTTGACGGACTTACCGTTTCGCCGCTAAAATTCATACTTGTCAAGAATCAAGAGGAGAAAAAAGGACCAGGATTCTTCTTTCAGTAATGTAAATAAGATAAGGTGACATACCAGCTCACAGTAAAGGAACGGAGGCGACCATACCAGTTCGGAGTATCCTATCAGAATTATGAAGTTAAACGACTTTGAGCGAAAATAATACTAGGATGGACGACATGTTGAGAGGCTGTGGGGTGTCTTTTTGTATAGAAAAAGAGGGCATGGGGGATGGGCTAAATGCACATCCGGCAGCTGTAGGGTCTGAAGGGGGTTAAGTGGTTTAGTGTATGGAGATGTGCATTGAATATTAATGGAAGGATATAAAGTTGGGGAAAAGGGAGGTACTTTGTGACATCTTTAGCTACCTAATCATGATTAAGAGTTTAATAAACCCTTGATTACTTCCAATAATCTGCTCTTAATCACATGTTGTGCAGCTGTAAATAGAGCCAAGTAATACCTATATGGTTTCAACCAATGACAAACTGTTGGATGCATGATCCCGTTTTGATGCAGCTTCAGGCACCGTGGAAAATTTTGTTGCCAATATTCCATTCGGTGGTACGTTACTTTTGACATCACCGGGTACAGATGTGTAGGCCTTTTCCCTCCTGTGCTGCAGGCAAAAGATACCTCTGGTCACACCCTTGAACTGATGTTGTTAGGGTTTGGATGTATATGAACGACTGTTCTTTCGACCTAGTTTTTAAAGGTTACTTTAACCTAAAACATGGTGACCTACTTGCATTGCATCTCCTAGTTTTTGCAAATATCTATTGTGGATTTTCCACCATCACCTAGATATGTATACTTCAATTGTTCTCATAATTCCTTCGGACACAAACATTTCCTCTTAGGTCCATGGTATTAGATTCTCTTGCTTATCATTTTAACTTGTCTTTCTCGTTCATAACATGTCTCTTTTGCATGATTCTTATAGTTGTAACTGTAACAAGACCTTTATTCGGAGAGTAATAATCAAGCGAATGCGTGGCATGAAAAAATATCCTGAGTTAGCATGTATTAAAAATACAGCTTCTTCATCAGAAGTGTCTAAAGATTGACTGCTTGAATTTTCAAATTGGTTTACAAGCTATAATCCTTCTAGACATGGTTGTCCAAATTGGTTGACAGTGTTTATGTCATGAACATGAGGTTCAATTCATCCTCTCTAGTCTCTTGTATATCATTTGGCACAAAAATAAAAACAAAACAATTCCTTTCAAAGGTAGGTAATCTATAAAGCGGAAATTAAAAATTCAAGCCCTAACTACAAGACTCCACTTGACCATATATATCGTGCCGTATTTGAATTGTGTGTCGGTGTCCACGCTTCGCTATAAATATAACTAGTTTTTCTTTTAGCTTTTTGCATGTAAATAGTTTACAGACCCCACTTTTATGAATACAATTAGTACGTATTATAGAACAAAAATTTATGCAAACATGAGTAGACCGCTATTGGGCCGTTACATGTCAATAATATAACATTGTGTAAAGTAAAACTTATATTCGTCGTTGTATTAATTTTACGAAACATTATAATAGTAGGATACTCATGTCGTACGAGTGTTCGTATTGTAGGTTAGTGAAGAAAATTCCTGGACAAAAGTGGATGCATTGGCAAAAATGGGGGTGGGGCCTGGCCCGTGATGAGCGGGGACACATTTGATGGGCCCTGTCACGTCAGGTGTAGTTTCTGTCGCACGTGGTGGGCCCTGTAGGAAATTTCTGTGAACCACTTCACTAGATCATCATTTAATCTTGTTTGTAAGGGTTAGGTAGGGAAGGGAATGAGGAGCAGTTGGCTGTTTTGAAACAACTAAAGCAGAAAAGTAGTTAAGCTAAAGTTGTTGGGAACCTCAGCATTCAGCAAACCAAGAACCAAATTTGACAAAAAAACCCTACTCAAACTCAACTCCATCTTAGCCTAACTAACATTGTGACTGATTTGGGCCCACCACTGTAGATCTTGGGCTTGGGTCATGGTAGTTGGAACCGAACTAGATATTATTCTAAGCGTCTCATGTTGAATAGACGTAGATTAGGCTAGTTGGTTAAAGTACATATTGTGCATGTTTTTTTTACACTTAAGTCTCTTCTTATAGATTAGAATAATTTCAAATAATCTCCGGCAAAAAAAGCCTCATGTTACATGCTCACCTGTAGCTATTAGGGTTTCATTTGGTCGCAAAATGGACTTTCTAGGATCTCAATTCGCAAACACTGATTGACTCCTTACATGTAAGGAAAGAACCATCATTTTACCATAATTACAAGACTCTAGAAAAAATTCATTAGATTTAGAGATTGTCTAGTTATCTATTAATTAAAAAAAGTAGACAGTTCTTCACAAGGAAGTTACTTATTATTATAACTGTCAATTAGTTCAACACTTATGAATGACTAACATTTATAAAATCAAATATTGTCACTTTGTTATTTAAAAAGAAATGACTCCCTACATCTAAGAAGCGAAATAAGTTTTCCCCTAAATATGCTCATTAGATTAATTGTCCACTTGCCAAAGTTTCATTATATCAGTTCCATTATGTTTGGAGCATGATTTATTCTTTTTGTTTTACATGATTAATTAATTACTAAATCAGGAGAGATGTGGCTACTTATTGATGATCTACTGCTATATTTTGCTGCATTTCATGTTTTGGTCTGTTTTGGTGTGGATTTTGCACAAATAAATACGAAAGATCGATGCATTCAAGTTAGATAATGCATTTGGGTGAGGAGGGGTTTACATTCAGACATACTATGTTGAAAATGTGGTCCATATGTTGCATATCTGAGATTATATATGTTGGCACGCACTGAAAATGCTTTTCCAATATTTGCATGTAAACAACTGATGAGAAAAGATGGTTTCAAGAGGACTGATCATATTAAGGCCTATCATGTAAAAATCAGCCTGGCTATAATACACAA